AACAATGTTCAGAATGGAAGTCTAAAAATAAGCACTCCTTTTAGACTGGGGAGACTGAGGTTTCCCAAGGCCCAACCTAATAAGCCCTTCATCTGGGCCATAGAACAGTTTGCAAACCTCAGTGTGAACTCAGTGATTGTATTATTTGAGCAAGATCTTGAAACTGGGTTCTTAGCCCAGTGAAACACAAGTTTAGTGTCAGATTAAATTATGGGATAGTCTTACATATTTTGTCTTCTGACAAAGCTTTTTGTAAAAGTGTGGCTTAGAGTACCTATGTGTCTACATACAATAAACAGAACCTTATTTCATGCCATACCTTTACTTTTACTGTACTCTGAGATCGGGATGGACAACTCAAGAAGACTTCCAGCTGCATTTTCAAAACCGGTGTAAAGACAACTTCAGAGCATTGTTTGCAATATAGCAATTCTCTGAAACACACAAATAATGTTGGAAAAACATAGAGAAGCGGAAAACCTATCAGCTGTAAATCAAAACAAATAAAAACCCAGCTAGTTTATTCTGGAAAATACTTTGCTGGTAGACTTTCAGTGGGAAAGCCTTGGTAGGGATTCAGTTGATAATAGCAAATAAAGCTCTCCTGCTGGCACTAACTCTCTTGGAGGACCTAAACTCTTCTGGCAGAGGATCTTCCTTTTATAAGTTCTGGCAATATGGAGGGAGGTTGCTATTTATAGTCACTCCACTTAAGCAAATATTAATCTCATAACTTTCTAAAAGTTATGGCACAGGAAAATTTGTAGTATACATTTGGCCCAAGCAACTTATTGACTTAGGCCCTCATTCAGCAAATGTTCAATGTTTTCAATGCACACTGAACAAAATTAAGCTCAGCTATAAGTGCTTGTTGGAAGCACTTCTTAAACAAACCATGATACTTCATTCATTCTCCAAAGGAAGCAAAAATGTCCTTCACAGGTGAGATATTTTTTTAATTGAACTACACTAGTATGTGAACATACACACGTCCTTAGTTTTTGCATGACAATACAATATAGGTCAC